GGGTTAGGTCAGGTAAAACTTAAAAATATGAANGACTAATGCAAGATGTGCACAAGCCCCCACTTGGTACGTATCTACTATATGAACCTGCTGCTTCTGCCCTGATTCCTCTACCTTTTTGGTGAGGATGCTCATTTGTGTCAAGAGAGTCGCCATATTTTCAGCCATTGTATTAGAAGGATCAAGAGGCACTGAGTGCACCACTGGAGTGATAGGTGCGTTCCTAGTTGTCCAACCTGAATTCTGCGCCATCTTGTCGAGCAAATTCTGACCTTCTCTCCAAGTCTTGCTCAAGAATGCCCCACCAGCAGAGGCATCTACGATATTCTTCATGCTGTCTGACAGTCCCATGTAAAATCGTTGTCCCACATCTGCTCTGGAACACCATGATGGGGACACATAACCAACATTCCCTTAAACCTACCCCATGTCTGGTGTAGTGTCTCCATTGGTTTCTGTTTGAAACTCACAATCTCATCAATTTGTTGAGCAGTTTTGTTGGGCGGATGGAACTTGTTGTGAAATTGCTTGACCAACTCATCCCAAGTTTCTATAGAGTTTATGGGGAGCGAGTTTAGCCAAACCTGAGCAGCTCCTGTCACCGAGAACGGAAACAATAATAGCCTGATTGCTTCCGGAGTCACGTTGGGTTGCCTTTGAGTTTTGCATATAGACAGGAAGTTCTTCAAGTGCTGCTGAGGATCTTCTGTTTGTGTCCCAGAAAAGAGTCTCTTGTTCTGCAACAAGTGTAGCATGTTATTTGTGATCTGGAACGATTCAGCTTGTATTGCGGGCACAACAATGGCAGTAGCCAAATTGTCAGCTGTTGGTTGTGCCCATTCATATAATGCACCCTCAGGCACAGGAGGTGCCCCTTCCCTGGCATTTAATCCAGCTTGCTCATTCCTGACGTTTCCGTTGGGATCGTTTACGTCTCCCATGTTAATTTCGATTTTGAGTGTTTGTTGGGATTGTTGAATTCTTTTGTTGGCACGGTTCAATGCCCGGAATGTTTGCTCGGGGTCTGAGAGTCCTTCAAGTAGTTCTCCAGTCCTCGTAGACTTTCTAGGCATACACCTGAGCACCCAAGTCAACAACCGTTAAATTTTCAATGAAAAAAAAAATTTTGGTAGAGAGAAAACTAACTACAATAAGAATCTTTGTATTTCTGTCAATGGTAATTGATAATTCCGTTAACTCCCCGGCAACGGTGCCAAAATTTGATCACGCCCAACTATGCCTTATAAAAAGGACTCTGCGGACGTTGCAAATATAACCCGAGTATTACGCCCAGGATCGAATCCACAGAGAGTTAACCTATCAACCACTATCTTCAGACCCACTAATTCTTCAGAACCAGCTTCCCAAATATGCAAATCTCCGTTGAATGTTCTTTAACAACTACGCTTGCAAGTAACTAAATAGCTGTAAACTAAACTAATAAGGTTGTAAACAATTATGATAAAAAGCTAAGGCAATGATTTCCCCTATTGATGGAATTCCTTCTGTTTATGCTCATACAAATTTACCAACACCTCTTTATCAATCATGAACGCTAATCTTACCGTAAATCTCTCCCGAGTAATCACAGTAATTTACTATTGCACTCTCCCGAGATACACTAGCTTACTTTATTTAGCACGATTCACTTTAGATTACACCCAAGGCTTCGTTATCCCTAATCCCGCCTTTAAACCCGCAATTATAGATTCCTCTAATAATCTAGGAGTGGTGTTGTTCAACAATACCCTAAATATGCACTCTTTTCCAAGTTATGCACACTAAATAGGCACAGCTAATTGAGGATCCTGTCAATTAACTACAACAAACACGAAGTTGAACAAATAGAGATTAAACTAGCAATTTGTATTCACATAAACAAGAAGTTCATCACCCAATAGGTTCCATCAAAACCTTAGACAAGGAATTTAGCTACTCATGGCTATGGGAAAATAAACTAAGATAGAATTCATCATAAAAATCAAAAGTAAAGAAGAAAGATGTTTGGAGTATTCTCTCACAATGATTTTTTTCTTGCTAAGAAACCTTACAAATCAATACATGCCTCTCTTGGGCGAAGTCTAATATTTTAAATAGGGTTTAGGTCTAAAAATCCCGTGTTTTACACTTTAGTCCCTGAAGTTTTCTGCTTCCGCCGCGGTTCTGCCGCGGTCGCGGTCAAACCACTGCCAAAAGCCTTCTCTGAATCTGAACTTATCTGCAGATATCTTCCACCGCGGTTCTAGCGCGGTCGCGGTGGAACCGCGGTCAACCTAGTCCTCTGAATCTTCAGGCCTATTTTGCGTGGTTTACTTGGGGAATTTCACAGTTGGCCTCTTTTTCTTCATTTTTTTTGACTCCAAAACTGCTCCTTAGCCTTCCTTATACATATATCACGTGCAAATCATGAAAAGCACTAATAAGAGCATTTTGTTATCACTTTTAGCACTAATACTACACAAGAAGGTGATTATTTAAGGTGTGATTATAGTCAAATTCACCTATTATCAGTTGGAGCTAAGAACGATCATCTACAACTCCATGACCCGAAGGCGATGGAGGCTGTTAATAATGCTCTGGCCTAATGACCATGATTCATCCACCATACTTGGTTTTGTGTCTCCTTAGAACTCAAGGATATAGTAGTACGAGCCTATAGAACAGATCCTGTTCAAGTAAGGTCGTAGATATACGTATTTGTTCCTTTTTTATACCTTAAGGAATATTTGGTATGATGTATTAGAAGAAATAATCATGGTATAAAACTTTGTACCTAATTATCTAGTGTTTGGTATTCCTTATTAATTTCTGCAAGTTACTCCTTGTATAAGTTATACATCAGTTGATGTATATTATTTCATACTTAATGCAATATGAGATAACAATACTTGTATTAGTCATACCATGATAAAGTTTTATAAGACAAAATTGCCCTTGATTTTAAGGTTTTTCCTGATCAAACCTCTTTTAGGATACTTAAGTCTACAAATTTCTTATTTGTTAGAGTATGAATAAATTGGACATACAATCCAAGTAATAAATGCCCAAGTTTCTTTTGGATCCCAAAGGTTAATCGTAACATAAAATATAAAGGAATTTTTATATTTCTATGCCACATAGGAAACCTTATTACCCTCAATGTTTAAGGTTTGACTTAATTACACTTAGTATACCAAATTACCAATTCTATACCATAATTAATTAAGGGTATAATTAATTGTACATTTTTTACTCCTTAATTAAAGGAATCTGCACGTTTCTCTCTCCTAACCCCTCAGTCCCACCCACGTTTTACCCATACCCACGCTCTTTTTACCATTTTCCATCTTCTGAAACCAAATTCTCCCTCTAAATTCACAGAAAATGGAAGAAACCCTTCAACAAAGTTGGTTCCCCATTTTACTCCAGTTGAAGTTCATCAATGAAGAACAACAAAGTTCATCAAAATTGAAGTCAAATCTTCAAAGTTCATACACACATTTACCTTCAGCTTCAAATTTTCTCAATGAAGAAGAACAAACCTTCAAAGAGACATGGGAGCAGCAATTCCACCATTGACAGCCATTAAAAAGCTTTGAAGCTTTGAATTCAAATTTGGGTTTTCAAAAATCATTATTTATTTTGATTGGGTGTTGTTGAAAATAATTGGGAATATGTTTTGGAGTTTATATCTCAATTTTGAGGGGTTTTGGTGAAGATTAGACTTGGTTTTGACTGAAATTCAGATTGAAACTCGAAGAAGAAGAAGAAGACATATTGCAGAAATTGTAGATAAATTATAGAAAAATTGTAGATAAATTGTAGACTGTTTTTTGCAGAAGATTTTGTAGAAGTTTTAGTCGTTTTGGATTTGTGAAAACAGAAAACGATGCATCTACAATCAGAATACAAATAATCTACAATTTATCTACAAAATATCTACAAACTGGATACATTGAATTTTAATATCCCAATTCCCATTTCAATTGTAGCATAATTGGCATTTTCGACATAATTGCATTTTTTGCAGAAGATTTGTAGAAGTTTTAGTCGTTTTTGATTTGTGAAAACAGAAAACAAAGCACCTACAATTAGAATACAAATAATCTACAATTTATTTACAAACTGGGTACATTGAATTTTTATATCCCAATTCCCATCCAATTGTAGCATAATTGTGATTTTTGACATAATTACGTTTTTTCAGAAGATTTGTAGAAGTTTTAGCCGTTTTTTATTTGTGAAAACAGAAAATAAAGCATCTACAATCAGAATACAAATAATCTACAATTTATCTACAATTTCTGCAATATGTCTTCTTCTTCTTCTTCTTCTTCGAGTTTCAATCTGAATTTCAGTCAAAACCAAGTCTAATCTTCACCAAAACCCCTCAAAACTGAGATATAAACTCTAAACCATATTCCCGATTATTTTCAACAACACCCAATCCAAACAAATAATGATGTTTGAAAATCCAAATTTGAATTCAAAGCTTTCAAGCTTTTTAATGGCTATCAATGGTGGAAAATATCTAGAAGAATATTTACTTCCATAATTGTAACGCGCCTAAATAGGAATATCTGGAAGAATATGACTTGATCTGATTTACACCAAATCTTTTTAGAATATTCTGTTCCTCAATTTTAGCTCGACAAATTAGGAAGATTCAGCTACTATTAATTAGTATTTAATGATTGGCATAGTAACTGTAGAAAAAATGTGGACAGGGCGGGTAAGTTAGAAACTATGCACATTTTTGGTAATAAGGTTTCATATATGGTATAGGAAAGAAAAAATCTCAAATATAAATTTATATCAAATTCAAACTGGTAACGTATCTCAACATGGAAGTATTGAAAAAACTCAAAGCCAGGGACCCAAGTGGGAATAGTGAAAGAAAGAGAATAGGATGCGGGGTAGACGAATTGGTCAACTCATTAGGCATTAGAAATTTCTTTTGTTGTGCATGAGATTGCCCGGAGTACGTTCGCAAGAATGAAACTCAACGGAAGTGACAGGGGTCGCAGAAGCGGTGGAGCATGTGTTTTATTTCGATTGCAAAAATTCTACATTGATATACACATTACTTGTCCTTGAAAAACAAACATATTTGCTATGTACCTGTAATTTACATCTTGAAGATAGGACACTGATCTTAGGGCTCCCAAGCCAAAGATACCAACTTCCTGTCTAGAATTCACAATTTGGAAATAACTACACATTTTCCCACATAGTTTGCTCTGGACTCAAGTGAATGTATTTCTCAAAGAAATCTGTTTATGGTGTAATACAAGAAAAGAATAGACAGTTATCACTTGAACAAGATATTATATTACTAATGTACATTACAGGCCATCTGCACAGCAATCTGGTGAATCTGTTAGCTTTTCAATACTTAGTGAAGACTTCTTAAGTATGCTCTCAGTCGGCCAACCTGAAACAAAAAACAAAACTTTGTCAACATATTTTTTCCTTTTCGGTTATAGGAAAGAATGGACCTTCAGATATCCAATTACAAGCATATAACATCTTACAACTACAACATTTTTAAAACTCCATTCGTAATGACTGCTGAATTTACTAAACCGACAGTGTCCACAAGAGCTAGCAAAGCAAAAGAGTCGGTCATCGTCTGTTGTTCAAATATAATTTCATGCAAAGCCATTTACCTTTTTAAACAGGTTGAGCAATGTCAGTTGCGCTATATCAATATAAATTCAAGAAATAACATCTATTCAGGCTGGTGGAAGAGGACGTCGACATGTTGGACACTCCATCTTTATGTCCATCCATCTTTGCAAACAACCGGAATGAAAGAAATGATCACAAGGTGTCACCTGAATATCGAGAAATTTTGTAGCTAAAATCACTTTCTAATAGGAATTCTAGATTAAGCGAGAAAATCTTTTATGACTATATATTACCATGCAATTATTTGAACGTAGAGTAAGATCAATAGCAGCCATACAAATAACACAATCAGCGGCACTATTGGCACCTTGATCAAACCTTCTGTAATAGTTATACTTCTCGGGTAAAATCTGCAACACGACAATAAAGCTTACATAAGATATGTAAAAGGGCAGAATGAAGTATTTTCAGTTTTTCCAGCTTTCAACAATTAATCCTTTCGAGAGATTCAACTGATGGAGCAGTATCAAACCTGACGTGGAATGAACCAACGAGATCCAAGATAGTGCTGCAGAAGAAGAATTGCCGCCTGCAACGCCATAAAAACTCCCAAGCAAATGCACCAATTCTTGTCAGGCTTTATACGCATGAAATTGTGAGGACAGCCAAAGACATATAATGGGATTGCCAGACGAGTTATACTCATTCCCAAGATGTAATGAGGGTGCAACGGTTTTCTCGAGTCACGAATGACATTAGTTACAATTTGAGGTATCCAAAAAGAGTGTAAAAGGAGAAGAATAGGGCGTAGAAGCTTGTGAAACTCGTACATGACCAATATACCACCTAAAAGAATCCCATCTGCAAAAAAATTCAGAAAATAATAAAAAAAGGTTCTTAAAAGAGGAAAAAAAAAAAGAAAAAGGAAAAGTAAAAAGCGAGCAGATTTTTTATGACCAACTGCAAATGCAACTCAAGCGGCCCAACTTTCAGAGGAGAGGGAGATGCGAAAGACTCGAATCAAATGCTTCAACATTTCTTTAGGAAATCTTTCTCTTGTACTTGGTCAAAGTTCGTTGGCTCACAAAAAAAAATATTGGGGAAAAGTGATAGAACAAGAAAGCAGTTAATTCATTAGCCTGTCCACCAGCAAGTTGGACAAAGAATGACGTAAAATGCTGGTGAAACCAGATATGTTATTTGATTTTAACATCTAATGACCTTTTCAATAGCAGCATGCATATTGATAACAAAGGCATGTGTATTAAACAAATCTCCAGTTGCTGATTCTGTTAACTATTTCTATACAAGCCCACATTAAGTAAAAGATACTTACAGAAACGGCTGTAAAGTACTGACAGTTCACGCCTCATTGCTTCCCAACCCTCTCCACTATTCATTGGCCTATTTGCTTTCCATATAGCGAGAAGATATCTCATCTCAAATATCGAGAAGACAACAAACTTGAAGAATGCAGCAGTTGCAAAAGCATTGAAAAGGGATTCTGCAAAAGAATTAAAGGGAGCGGCACACAGTTCCATAAGAAATCAGTGACCACCTTATACTTATACGACTTCATTAACATAGCAAGAATTGGATATAAGTTTGGAGAGACTTCTATGAAGAAAAACTACATAAAAGTGATACTTGAGAGTCAAGGGTAGGGCTTCATTGACAATATCCAACAACATAAGTTTGTTATGAGAAAAGAATGAACACGTCAAGAATGTCAATCAGCTGAAGAACCATCTGCATAAACTTTTAACAGTGCTGCTTTCAAAGTGGCAAATAACGCAGAAGAATATGACATAGGTATGACTTGCACTCTGACCGAAGAACACCTGATCACCAGAGGCGGATGCAGAGTATATCTGTTCCGGGTTCATCTGAACTCGGCACTTTCAACGCAAAGTATATATTTATGTGTAAACATTCATGAAAACTGCAAGAAATAGTAGATACGAACCCATAACTTTAGAAATACAATGGGTTCATACTAAGAATCTTAGAGGTTGAAACCAAAAAGCTTAAATCTTGGATCCGCCTCTGCTCACAAGGAATGAATAGCTTACACAGAACTCTGTGACTATATTAGTACCAGTTAGAATGACCAAGACAACAACTACTGATCAAACTTACCAACAAGTATTCCAGCGGTCAGATGCAAAAGACAAAGATAAGCATCCATGATAGCCTGTTGTCCAATCATCAGAATTGAAACTTTGGCAGCTCCCTAGAAAAAAAAATATCACATATCATTCTTCTACTTTATCACCACAGAGAGAGAGAGAGAGAGAGAGAGAGAGGAGGAGGAGGAGAGAGAGGAGGAGGAGGAGGAGGAGAGAGGAGGGAGGGAGGGAGGGAGGAGAGAGGAGGAGAGAGAGAGAGAGAGAGAGAGAGAGAGAGAGAGAGAGAGAGAGAGAGAGAGAGAGAGAGAGAGGGAGAGGGAGAGGGAGAGGGAGAGGGAGAGGGAGATAGCACTTGTTATCATGTGACTAAGATGGTGGTAGTCTTACTGATTGAGTGTTGCTATGTTCCATTTGTCGAATAAGGAGGAGTACTTGCAGAAAAGATATCTGGTGGATTAGGCAATTAAAGAATCCAGACAAGTGCAATTTACAGAAAAAATGATACTAATAATCCCTCTGTCCCAATTTATATGTCATACTTTTCTTTTAAGTCCGTCGCAAAAAGAATGTTATACTTCCTTATTTAGAAACAATTTAGCTTCAAAATTCCAACTTTACAATTAATTAGATGATTTATAGCCACACAAAGATCTATGGCTTGTTTTAAACCACAAGTTTCAAAAATCTTTCTTTCTTTCTTAAACTCCGTACCGAGTCAAACACCGTCACATAAATTGGGACAGAGGGAGTAAAAAAGAGAAGTGCTTTAGGATACAAATGTGACCATCAATGTATAGTTCACTGCTTTGTTGTAATAAACCTCTATATTGACAGAGGTGGCATTCAATAGCATTGGTGAGAAACAGTCTCCGTCAGCATCCACTGAAGGGCTCTCTATCAATCCTTCTAGGTGATAATGATCACGAGCACCATCTGACAAAAAAAAGATAAATCACTTCTTCCTGATATTCTGCACAAGCTTATGGATAAGGTATGATCAAGGATCTTGTATCATATCAAAGGTGAAAGGTAAACAAGAAAACCCGAAGTACCATTAGTGGAGGATGAGACACGAGCAATTTTTGCAGCAATTTCAATATTACAATGTTTCTCCATCTCATAAAACGGTGCTGCAGAAACAAAAAGATACATAGCTTAAGCGAGAAGTTACAACATTAAAAACCGGATCGACGTTGAGTAAACGTTATTACAGTGTTTCTTTTTCCAAATCTTATCTCGAGAAGACTCCTGGAAGATGTGGGATGAGAAAACTCCAAGCTGTCAACAAAGATAATGGATGAAGCAAGTCATTTTCAATGACAAAAATCTTCTTAACAGCTAAAAACTCAGATTACTGTCACTGGAAGAACGGAACATCCAAAAACATTTTTAAAAAACCAAAAAGAGAAATAAAAAGCAAAGGATAAGGGGAAAGGAAAATCATCTACAGGATATGAATAGTATTAGAAGTTCCATCTCATTATCCCGCTTTCGAAAGAGAATTCTACTTATGGCTATCCAAATATGTGCTAAAATTTCAAATGATAATAAAGAGATACACCCTGCAATTTTCTTTAGAAAAAGAAAAATACAGTAGACAAAAGGAGCTCTAAAGAAGTAGAAGAAAAAACTTATGAAATTTGTTGTGCCATTACCAGAATAAAGGGCAGCCCGGTGCACTAAGCTCCCGCTATGCGCGGGGTCCGGGAAAGGGCCGTACCACAAGGGTCTATTTTACGCAGCCTTACCAGAATATCATATAAAATTCAAAGTATGCCAAATTCTCAATGGAATTCAAGCATGGCGTTCTTCAAACATAAATCATATAATCATATAAATATGTGACACATTTGAAGAAAATTAAAGTACTTCAACTGATTCTAGCAGCAGCAGAACTCAATGTTATTGATGATCATAAGGTGACATGTCAAAACTCTTTTCAATAATCCATGCTGAGGACAAATGACATATTGTTGTAATTAATACCAAGTGATATGGATTCGACAATAGATAATCATCTTCCTGCCCAAACTCACCATCTTTGCCACTGCAAATTAGAAGCACGACTGTGAGTTGATGAAGCATGTTAAGATAGGATCTCCAAGCATGTTATGTGATGAGTGAACCAATATCTAAAGTTTAAATTCCATCTTCTGAAGAACACAAGATTTAGATACTCTAAAGGTGAGTAAATATCTTAATACGCAGCTACTAACTGCATCAAAACAGATAGGATTATTATTCTCGCACTGAGAATAGCTCCGCTTTCAACTTAGCAAGTACAAGGAAGTAGTCAAGTATAAGTACGTACACTGCTATTTTGGTAATTTGAACAATATGGCCTTGATAGTTTCATGCACTATAAAGCACCTTAAGTGGAACTAAACCTAGGAAAATGAAGAGGTAATATATGAGGCTTTATCTTGTTATCTTTCTTTCTCACTGTAGTACCCAGGCCTTATTTATAAGCTAATAGTTCCTACGTGAGGCCATATTGCTTGAACCCGAATAGAATACCATTATGTTCTCTAGACAGTCCAAGACATAATACAAATCAAATTTAACATAGATGCACCAGTCATAACCATCCATTGTCTTATGTATCACATTACAGTTCTTATCTGAGTTCGTAAATACAACTTTTAATCGCAATCCTCAAGCATGATAAAAGGACTCTAGCAATAAAAGTTAGAAAAAGTTGTACACTATTTTTTTTTATAACCGAGAACTACCCGAGGGCTAGTGGCGCACGGTTCGAAGCTCGGTTGGATATTTGGCCCGCCCCTCTACCCTTCTCCACTTAAGTACCGGGCTTTTGTCTGCAGTAAGATTCGAACCCCTAACATGCGCCACCTAACCCACACTTTACGCGATGCACTCTTACCACTAGACCAAAGGCCTGGGCGACAATTGTTGTACATTTTTGGCATGAATTACTTCAATTTCAGCAAAGACACCAGTTCTGACCATCCATTGTCTTATGTATCATATAACAGTTCTTCATTGGTTTTGTTAAATACTAACTTTTTATCGGAATCATTCAGCAGGATAAAAGCTGGTTGCATTTCAAAGCTAGAAAACAACTATTGTACAGTTTTGGCATGAGTTACTTAATTACTTTAGCATATTTTTACATCAATTTTTTTCCAGACTAGGTACCAATTAGCAACTAGTACCTGTAAGCTACCATTCGAAGTTGTCTGAATGGCCATATATATACACCTTCTACTCTGATTTGAGCACCACCAACTCCATGTTCATTGTCAAAAACATCATGGAAAATTATTGCACCCTGTTGTGTACAACATGAAGTTAAATTGTAGAAATGTGCAATTTCTGCATAAAAAGTTTCATCATCTGAGCAAGATCAAACCCCTGCTAAATATTACTTTTAATAGTAAATCTGCAATAGAGAAAGTATTGGACTTCAATTTTCAGAATCGTGTGTTTCACTGCTTATGCACAACTCATCAAAGGATAGCAATACATTACAATAACGAAGCAAAGCTAGAATCAGTAGGCACATCAGACTATTCCTAGTAAGGTGTTGAGCTTACAGCTCTATAATTCACTGGTTTACAAATTTGCAGGTATATTTGGATAAGTTACAATTTGTCAAAGGGATTACCAGGAAGAAGTTTGCATATTCAACAAACAGCATATTTAAGGGTATGATAGAAATGCTAGGAGAAATAAAAAGATGAAGAACAATTCCATTACACCACTAACACCACAAGCTATAGACTAATAGTAGCAATAGACATTTGTTCCACAATACTGCTGGGATGAAATACCAAAGTGGTTGTGGGGAACTTTGGGTGAACGACTGATGTTGTGTAAGAAGGGGAGCCTCGGAACAACGGTAAAGTTGTCTCCGTGTAACCTACAAGTCACGGGTTCGAGCCGTGGAAGCAGCCACAAATGCTCGCTTTAGGGTAGGCTGTTTACATCACACCCTCTTGGGGTGCGTCCCTTCCCTGGACCCTGCGTGAACGCGGGATGCCTTGTGCACCGGCTGCCTCTTTTTGCTGTGTAAGACTTCTTCAGCAAAATAGCAGCACAATCCTTGTCATATGACAGTGTTTGAATGAATGCAAAGTATAAAATCTTAAGTTGATTTATGTACTATATTAGTGGTAGTTGGAAAAATATTAAAGAAATTCTTGACTAGTTAGTTTGATAAAGAACATTACATCAAAGTTCAAAATTTTGTACAGCTAAATGAATTTGAATTCTTGAAAGTTGCAAACAACAGTAAACGATACCTGGTATGACTTATGAGAGAAGCTCTAATAGAAAGAGCGAGTAAACTAACCAGAACATCTACTTAAAAATTAAGTAAACCTATTGGGACACAATGACATATACAACTTTATTTTTTTAAAAGGTCAGAGACAAGTACTTACGTGGAAACAACAGAAGTTAGCACAATAATTTGTAGAGAAATTCACTTATTTAATGATGACGGGACTACCTGAACATAATGTACACCAGTTATTTTTGTTGGATTACTTATCAATTCAAGGACCGAGTTGCCATTGGACTTCCTAAAATCAGGAAACCTGGAAGAGCCATTTGTTGAATCTAGGAATCTCCAAGACCCTGCACAGCTCAAATGTCCAGAAGAAGGTATTATTAGATTCAAGACAGAAACAGCAACTGAGCTATATTAATTGATATGAGCATGAGATTTTCCTTTATGTTGTGTTTGATGAGTTCCACTGAATCACTTACAAAATTGGCCATAAGTTCTTAGCCCAGTTGGCTTAACAAAACAAATAAGGCGTTATTTTGAAAGGTAGAACAACAGGAAAGTATTCTGTTAAACTCATATGAAATATGAGCAATGCACTAAAGTATCATATTTACAACCAACTTACAAACCTCTATAAGTTCCTGTTATATTCCAAGCAGAAAATGGCCCCAATTCATTTTCATCCTTTCTAACAAGAAGCCACTGCAACAAACAATAAGGATATGATTAAAGGTTAGGTGGAAACAAAAAGGAGGCCTTTTTCACTTTTGGAAATGAAATTATCTTCAGGTTCCATGTTCAAATGCAGGACTATATTCTTTCCAGAGTTCCATACTCATAAATGAGCTCCAAGAAGTCATAACTGAGTAGAATAATTTCATATCCCATTGACCGAGTTTATCCATCTAGTAATTACAAATCTTATTGACTGAATTTATCTAGTCATTTCATCATCCCTGATTTTTTTTATATGTAAACACCAGCTCTTTATTGGTGTCAAGAGTTGATTGGAGAGGCAGATATCTTGGCAGTAGGCATATACATGAAATAGTTCCAGAGAAAATTCTACTTTGTTCGGGATTTTCCAATATAATTAGACAAGGTAATACTCATAAGAGCAAGTTCCATATAAAAGAATGGATAAATAAAGACGGATTATTCCTTCTTAGCTCATATAACTTTATCACCCATATCTCCTCATTTTTATACTAAACTTACATTTAGTAAGATTCAAAGAGTATAAAGGACTAGACCTATCAGCTGCAGATTAAGCCAAATAGCTTGAATTCCTCTCACCAGCCTATGGTTGCCGCACCTAGGCTGCATCTAGACATGTGTTTTGCTTAGGCCCGTCGATGCTTACATGCAACATGTGCAAGAAAGAAGGAATGGCGTTTCTTTTAAATGGTACATATGTTGAACAATTTTTTATCATATACTAGAGATATGCATTATTTCTATCATCAGATGTTTCTCCAAAACACTACTCAGGCTTTTCATGTTTTTATTGGAGTAATCATCATACAGCAGATTTTTATAGCATCATTCACGAACTGGCAAGCACATAAAACTTTGTTCTAATTTCACATTTCACCTAGTTTTTTTTCTTCTTTTTTTTTTTTGGCGAAAAGCATACAAGAACATTGGCATCTGTTGAGACTTCAAAGAGAAAGTCTAATAGATGTGTGGGTTAGTCAAACGTATCACCTTTCTATCGCAGGTTTTTTTCCCGTTTTTTTAATCTATGTCATATAAAGTTCCATCAATGTTATAAAAGAGCTCAGCCTTTGACTGACATAAGGTCAAGTTAGCTAAGACTCAACAAGAATAAAATGAAAAGTGAAAATTTGCTCCGTTAATCAACCCACTCAAACTTGAAGCATATGAACATTAACCACATTGCATATGCTACATCCCCCATATATGCTTGTCATCGCTAGCTTATCCAATTAACAACAACACCGAATCACTTTAGACCCTCACCAGTCACTTCTTCTTTCCTATCAATCAGCTTTCACGAAAGCCCTTTCGAGTTTCAGCCTAAGCTAAAACCTTTTTCTTTTCAATCAGAAGCCTAAGGTTAAACTTAGGGACAGAAACTCAGTGCCACGCACCAAAGTCAGAACTTTCCCATCAAGAATTCCAACAATAACAACAACAACTAGCCTTACTCCCAAACTAGTCGGTGTAACTATATGAATCCCTAATATCTGTTCCATTCCACTACGGCCCATTTTATAAATATCGAATGTCTAGACAGTACGTAGAAGACCAATAGTACTTTTCTTGCTCGCCAGGAACCAAAGATATCAATTCCATTAACCACATAGCTCAAGCTACTTAACAGAAGGAGAGAGCAATTTAACATATCAGCAGAAATTAAACCATGCAAAGTCTTTCGAGTACATTTTTAAACACTGCAAAACTACACAAGAAATAGAACCAATCATAAACAATACGATCATAAGACTAGAATTCACCAGCTAGCTAACACAACTTTCGCACTTTATGTTAGCTGAATGAGTAAAGCTTCATTTTTTTAATATGCAATTCAGTATTAAAGTAGCAAACTTCACCGCGGATACTTTTACAACATTAACCAATCCTGTTTTCGAACAACAGCAACAACAACAATCGACGATCAATCAATTAATCAACTTTGTGGCTATGCTACGATCTAAACTAGTAAGAGCAGTACTTATTCCACTATTTGGGCACATTTTATTCCAATAAAAAATAATTTCTACTTGCAGGCAAAAAACAAAGAAGAGCAAATAGAATATAACTCCGAATACTAACCTCATCGCCCCACGATTGATATCTTTCCCTGAGAGGCCTGAGGCACATTACTGGACAAAACCCACCAAAGATGAACCACAAGCTGAATAAAACTCTAAGCAAAACCCCATCATTTTTCCTCAAAAAGATCAAATTTTTAGCCACACCCATTTAAGATCAATTCAAAGTCTTCTCCTTTAAGCAATTCTTGAACATCCCAGATGAAGAAATAAAGCCCATTACAGTTACAAAGAAGAGAAATTTAAGAAAAAAAAATTAAAAAAGAAGAAATACAAAACATGGGGGTTGCTTAAAGTGAAGTCTAAACAACAAAAAATCAAGAGACCAATCAACTTCAGAGAAAATGAAAGCTCAACATAAGCAGAATCATTTGAATTGTTGATTTGGGGTTTACCAACAATGCCTTCACTGGTCAATTCTTGAACCAGAAATTAAGAAACCCCCACTTGTATTTGTTTATTCAAAAACAGTTATAAGTAAACATTTATCCCAATATTCTATTAATTAATTAAATATGTTCTAATACATAGATAAATAACATGGGGGTGAGGGGGGTTCAGTTCTACAGAAAGTTTATTTAAGACTAAGCTAAAGAGCATTTGATAATAGTTTTCTCCTAATTTTCTTGGTAAAAATGGAGTCTTGGTTCAGTGGTGTGGTCCCGTGTGGATGATAGTTTGACTGGTGGGTATGAAGCATAAAGCTAATGCTTGCCTACAGTTAGTATGTGACATTGGGCTATGGAATCTTCAATGATTTTCTAAAGATCATTGAACGGTTGTGATTGAGCTGTCACCGAATGAAAGGGATGGAACCTGTTTCCTTATCTCTTCTATGTTGTTCTGGACAGGCTGACAAATTGTGGGCGAAGTGCACAAATAGCCGTTTCTAGAAATCCCATTTAAAGATGGGAAAATTTCACATAAGAATAAATGGGCTCTCTATCTTTCAATTTTATAGCTTATATTTCAATTTTCAACTAAATATCCCAAAAATATAGGCTAATACTCAAAATTTAATTCCAATAGATTCTCAAAATTACTATTCAATTTTTAAAAAATAATTGCTCATATTTTTAAGTTAATTTTTGAATCAGTAAGTGCGACTCAAATATTAGTTCAACAAACTAAATCCATTTGGATGGTGAAAATTAGATTTTTAACAAGCTTAAATATGTGGGTTTAAATTTCGAATTGAATTTTGTGAGAAATTTAGAGTGGGTATTATTTAGACTTGTTAGGAATAGTATAAGGAGGTTGTATATAAAATTTGAAGTCATTTAATGGAGATTTGGACTGGTTTTGAACAAGAATTGTAACTGAAAATCGTGGAAGAAGTTCCTCTACAGACGCTTGTATAAAGGTGTATAAAAGTGTATAATAGTGTATGAGATGTGTTTATACACTCATATACACTATTATACAAGATTATACATAATTATACAAAAAACTGACTTGTCTTCTACCTTGCCTTTTTTCTGAAATTTAACGCAAATCTTGCTCAAATCTACTCCAAGTCACTTCAAATTTAAATTTTGAACTCCTTTTGATATTTTCCATCAATTGGAACAACACTCAATCCAAACAACTAACAAACTCAAAAAAAATCTATTTTCGAAAGCAAAGCTTTAGATGGCCTTCAATGGTGGACTTCTACTCTTCAATTTTCTGACATTGCAAACAGGGGGAGAAGCAGAAAATACACGGCCAATCTACTCCAAATCACTTCAAATTTAAATTTTGAACTCCTTTTAATATTTTCAATCAATTGGAACAACACCCAATCCAAACAACTAACAAACTCAAAAAATCTTATTTTTGAAAGCAAAAGCTTTGAATGTCTTTCAATGCATGGTGGAATGATGAATCTTCAATTTTCTTATATTGTAACTAGGTGACACAGGGGAGAAGCAGTAATGGCAGACGGCCCCTTGAAGCATATGTAGAAGATGTGAGAAGAAAAGAGAGTGAAAGCAACGGTTGTGAGAACATAGATTTAACTTCATAGCTTTTAGAAGCATTGGTTGTAAGAAAACAGATTTTGAATTTGCTAGTGCTTTCAAAATATATACAATATGGGTTAGGTCAGGTAAAACTTAAAAATATGAACCATTTTTTGTTATGGTGTGAAGTCAAGTGTATTTACTTGTAATTCTTTCAATTATTTTTTCTTCCTCAGGTAGGTTTTGATCAATTTGTTTCGGTCTAAAAAGTATATATACTTTTCTTGGCTAGGTTTAATTTAATTTTATTTTGTTCACTTTTGTTAGAGAAGAAAATGGACATGATTACTTAGTTCTGCCTAAATTGATTTTTATTTTAATTTTAGTGTGTTTCAACTAATATTAGATTGGTGAAGTACTTGTGAAGAAAATGGACATGAGAAAATATTCCCATGTTTAGTGAGGTTAAATTAATTTCCGATTTTTTTAATTTCTTCTCTTTTCTTCAATTCGTTTTGCTTTTTGGGTTGAAATGAAATGGGAATTATGTTTGGGAATTAGCTAATATAAAAACATCAAACTATTTTGTCATGTTAGAAATCAAGAAATGAGGTGGAGTTAAATATATGATTTTGAGATGAAATTTGAAGTAACTTGAGAATAATATTTTTTTCCTTGATAGTTCATCTTCAAAAAATGAAAAACATCTCAACAGATTTTGCTGAATGTAAGGTACCTTAATTTAGATAGAAATTAATTTTGCTTCATAATGATTGTTTATATGCCCTTGGCTTTGGTTCCTTCTTCGTCCATTATCTTAGACGTGAATTAATTAGGCTGGTGGTTACTGGGATATAATAAGTTGTCAAAGATAGAAATGATAAAGAATATTGCATCATTAGTATAGAAATTAGTTGATTATTGCTTCATCTCCATTATTTCACTAACATCTTCATAAGATAAGGTTTGGTTATAATTTTTGAGAAATAACATCATTACGTCAGTATGAATATTTGGTCGAGACATAATCATTTTTGAGGAAAAAAATTAAATCGTAGTAGTTTGGCTTGTGTTAGAGGTGAAATTCGCAAATACTAATATGGATATATTTTTTAAAATGGGTTTAGTGAACTTAATTTGTAAAAAATGGTTATACAAATTAAAATTATCTAAGAATGCGGCTAATGATAACAAGGACAAAATTATTCCAAGGCATATGCTGCTAACTATGAAGAAGAGTGATGAACTGAAAAAAACTTTTTGCTATTATATTGTTACTGTTGCACATCGTACTGTTCATCCAAATATCAATCCCATTTGATGCCCAAGAAGCTTATGACAATCAAAATATTAGTAATATTTATTATGCATGAATTAACCGAAATGTATGCTGCTTATGAGTATTTTATCGAAGATACTGGATTGCTTATCATTTCATAGATTGATATTCTTTTATAATCGCGCGAAGCGCGTACATATTCACTAGTTTGGTATAATTCTATGTATAACTAATACATAACAAACCATGATATTATCAATGCAAGGCTATTAATGCATGCATTAGCATGAAAGACAAAATTATCCTCCCTTAAAGCTAAAGAATACGGAGGGCATTTTTGTAAACAACTAATTTCTTAAAAAATTATGCAATACATATCAATTTTTAATACACCACACCAAACAGTGAATAAGAAATAAATTGTATATAACTAATACTTGCATTACTAACGTATACATTACCAATTCTTGCATTGCTAATACACCTTATTCAGCACTATTTTTATACACCCTACAAAACGCCCACTAACGTTTGGTATGAAATATAAGAAAATATAACTTATGTACAAAATTTGTGTTACTTATGCAGCAATTGGTCTCTGGTATAAAATCTAATAAAGCGTATTTTAGTTTGTTAAACCTGAAAATCTGATAAGGTACATCTTTAGTTTCAATGTTAAACTCCGAAAGTCAAATATTGTATTATCAATTTAGTTTCGGCATTATTTTATACAAGATACATATGGATAAGAATGAAGGGGAGCCTTGGATCAACGGTAAAATTGTCTATGTGTGGCATATAAGTCACGGGTTCAAGTCATAGAATCAGCCCACTGATGCTTACATCAGGATAGGCTGCCTATATCACATCCTCATGGGGTGCGACCCTTCCCCGGACCCTGCGTGAACACGGGATACTTTGTACATCAGGCTACTTTTTTTTTTTTTTACTTGTGGCCAAGACTATGACAATTCATGAATAATAATTCAAACACATAAACATGTCGCCATTTAAATTTTAATTGTCTAATATTTAGTGCTCGATCATTTATTATAAGTTTATAACAATATACATGACATACTATGTGCAATGAGCTATAGCAAGATTGGCACTAATAGGTAGCCGTAGGCGTGGAGCCGTGGATACTACTATCACACCACGAATCAGTGTGTACAGATTTTGTTGCTGGTCCCCCTCCTCTTCAGAACCAAACTTGATGGCCTACTAATCAAATTCACATGCTTCTTAGCCCTAACTGCCAATGAGGCAACTTGGGCTTTTACTCTGAAAACAGTCTCTATTCCATGTTAGGTACAATTACCGTCCAATAGACAGTCCAGGCAAGTTGCAGAGGTTATAAACTTAATGCAACCATATGCACAGAACAACATTTATTCCTGAATCATTCAACTAACTAACAAATCATTCCGAACTAAAAGTTTCAGATGTTCAACTTCCCCTCACAAACAATTATCGAGTAATTCCGTACGCTAACAACAACAACAACATACCCAGTCTTATCTCACACCGTGAGGTCTGGGGAGGCTAGTGTGTACGCAGAACTTATCCCTACTTGTGAGAATAGAGATGCAATTCTATCAGCTAAGAGATTAAAAAAATCACCTAGTGATGCTTTTAATGAGAATTGGGGGAAAAGGCGTTAAGTACCCAGACTAGCCTCAAATCTGCAGTTACACACCTGTACTTCGTGGGAGTCTTATTATGGTGCGAAAAGAACACCTCTCTATTAAGGACTTCCGCAAAGTACTGGTGTGTAAATAGGAATCCCTAACAAGTGAGAAGTACTTATGCCTTTGCCCTGAATGAGTTATAGGTCTAAATTACTCTGCTCATTAACTGTACAAGTGTTTAGAACCAAGAAAAACACATCAGAAGAAAAACTTGTAATGCATTTTACTGACTCTTCATCAAACTTGTTACACGAAGAAGCTTTAACGCATTTTAATGATTCTTCATCAAATCTACTGAAGTACCAGTAACTTACAAACAACTAATATCGCAAATAAGAAAATGAAACCGAATTTCAAAATCATTGGCAAAGCATTTATTAAATGGTCAATCAAAAATTAAAATTTTAATTTCGAATAGAATTACACCAACTAATAAATCCAGTGAGTAAAGAATCAAATCAAATAAATCTAATGATATTCTCATACAAAATATCAAATGCAAACAAATCTAATCATGAAGATCTATCAATGCAATAGATTTATATATATCAGTATAGTATGTTATATATATAAATTGAATGCATCTGATAATTCAAAGAACTTCTCTCCTAGCGTCGTACCCGAACTGCGATCGTTGAATATTCTGCTGTCGTTTTTTGTAAACCAATGCACCGAGACCTACGAAACAAACGGCGGCGATCACTCCGATTGCTATTCCGGCCTTCTTCCCGCCGTTGATTCCACCGCCTGACGATTCCTTCGAGTCCACCGCACTCTCGTGGCTTATATCACTCGCAACTTCGGAATTTGGCGCCGGAGACGGAGACTTTGAAGAAGTAGCGTCACCAGAATTCGCCGGTGATGGGGCCGGAGATGAATCCGGTGAGAGATCTGAAGGCGGTGGCGCCGGAGGAGAAGTCAGATTTGATGAAGGTGAAGGAGCCGGACTCTCCGGTGGAGAAGCCACATCGGCACCGGATACCGGTGCCGGACTTGGAGAATTTGTCGACGGATCTGCAGAGATACATTGTTGTACGAACAGAACTGCAAAGAGAAGCATGAAGGAAAGCACTCGAATTGTCGCCATTGCTATCAAAACCTAACACACAACAGAAAACTAAGTTAAAGTAAATCAAAGCAATTTACAGTGCAAAAAACAAATGCAGATCTGGAGATTTTCAGAGAATTTTGTGGTGAAGTTGAAGGCTTAACGTTGAAGTAAAAGGAAATTCAAAATTCAAAAGTCTAGAGAGAGAAGGAGAGTACCTTTGGAAGTTAGAGAGAGAAAGGCGATGAATGAGGGACTGCTAGTGCTAGATTAAGGGGAAAATGTTTGATATGTTTTGGTGGCGTGAAGGAGAAAGAAACGGAATCGTCTCGGTTAAAAGAAAGGTTGCGTATTTTGGGTAATACTATAGTATCGAATCTCATGAGATATCATAGGTTCTCTTTCTAATTCTAATTTGAATATATTATATTTTTGTTACTTAGTATATTGTAAACATACAAAATATTTCATATTATTCTACGGATAGTTTTATAAGTGGGCGTTTGGACATAAGAATTGTAAAATTTCAAAATAGGGTGAAAATATTTTTCAAGTGAAAATGGTATTTGAAATTTAAAATTTTGTCTGGACATGAATATAATTTTGGGTTGTCTTTGAAGTTTTGTGAGTGATTTGAGTGAAAATTTTGAAAATATAGCTTTTCGGAGTTCTTCAAAAATTTTCAAAATGCGTATTCAAGTGAAAATTGAAAATTTTATGAACAAAGCTGATTTCGAAAAAACGAAATTGAAAAAAAGGGAAAAATTTCTTATGTCCAAACGATATTGAGTTCTCTTTGTCATTTTTTTAGAATTCAAATTTAGATTTAACCGTTATACTTTGATTTAGTGATTTCTATCAAATTTATTTAGAAATCATTATCTTGTTATTTTTTTGGTCCTAATAGTATAAGTCGAATTTAAGATGTACTATGTGTCTCATCTAAAATCATCGTGAAATGTGATAACTATTTTTAAATTTGCATATATACAATTACCAAATGGTTTACCATAATGGTAAATGAAGAAGAAATTAATTATCCAAGACAAGGGTTTCTAGTGAAAAAAGCTACATCTAATACATGTACCGGTGAAAAGTATGTCAACTGATTGAGATGAATACAAAATATTTACTCCCCATTTTAATTTACGTGAACTCATTTGATTGGACACAAAATTTAAGAAAAAATATAAAACTTTTTGTGGTGTAAAATAAGATACATATATTTTATATGGCTATAAGCCATTGTATAAAAGTAAATTATTTTCAAATAAGAAAATGAGTCTTTTTTTTTTTGCACAGACTAAAAAAATAGGCTCACATTTATTGAAACGGATTTAGTATAATTTGAAAAGAAAAATAAGAGCTAGTAGAAAGTTTTTTAAGCATTCTTGTGTCCTTTCTACAAAAAAGGAAAATTTCTTGAGTCATAAGCGATTTGGGTGAAAAAGTGACCTATTTTGCTTCAATTAGAAATTCCAGATAGCAAGGACGATAGCGGACCTGAGTGGTTGAGATTGAAGGTGAAACTTCCTTATCTAGGCCAATCAAAAGAATCACTATATAAACGGTTTTTAACCTATTGCTTGATTAAGATTTTAGACCAAAGGTTTCAATTCATTTTTAAATTCAGATTACTTACATTAGCATCATCGGGAAAGGATCAGCTCCAGTGAAATTATGCCCAGTAATGTTCAATACTGTTACTGATTATTGCCATCTGTCCACCCATATTTTCTATGGCTGGGATTCATTCTTATAATACAACCAAAAATGGCACGACAATTATGAGCAAAAATAATGAAAAAAGGGCATTGCTATTAGCGGACGTTTTTATTGTAACGTGCTTGCCCTTTTATTTTTAAATAAACACTTGCAAGTTTTAAAGCTGCACAATGCAATAAGTAAGGCTCCTTTTTTATGTAAAGAAATATTTTCTCATTTGTCAAAACATAAAGGAGTAATTCATTCCTACTATCTACAATAAATTTTTATTTTTTTGGAATCATCTTTTCCTTTCTTTTGGAATCATTTGTTTCATGTTGACAGAGGTCTTGAAGGTGACATAATGACATTATATCAGGTTGTTTAAATGCTACTCCATCCGTTTCATATTAGATGAGGTAGTTTGACTCGTCACGGAATTTAAGAAAAAAGAAGAAGACTTTTAAAACTTGTGGTCTTAAAGCTTAAGGGGTAAAAAATTTGTGGGGCCATAACATTTGTGTGGCTATAAAAATTTCTCATTAAGGGTAAATGGGTAAAATGAAAGAGTTTAAAGTTGAATTATTTCCAAATTTAGAAATGTGTCATTTTTTTTTGGTTAAACTGAAAATTTTATTTAACCAAGTAAATATTTACATCCACCCGCTCATTTGACTCTAGAGTCGGGTCTACAAAAATAGCCTCTTTTGTAACAAATTGATCCCCTATCTACCTTACTAACTATGCTAGCATGGGAATCTATCTATCTTTTCTAATACTCTTTTCCATTTACAATAATTCTCTCCTCTCATATGTAAATGAAGTACTATATCTCTAACTAAATCTTTACTTTCTCTGCTGATTTGTTGAAATCTTCTAAAGTTTCCTTCCCTCCATATTTGGTACACTGCAGCAGCAAAAGCATTGCCCAGAATTGTCCATTTCATATCTCTGCTCTTTGTTTTCTTTGTCATCCAGTTGACTTCCTCTTGCCAATTTCCTACTGTTCTATTGATTTCAAACAGCTGGAGAAGTTGATCCCACACAAATTTTGAATATGCACACTCAAAGAATAGGTGTTCCATAGTCTCATCTTTTCCACTTGTGTACAATACACATTCCTTTGCTACATTGATGCCCCATTTGATTACTCTTTCCACAGTCGCTAACCTTTGGTGTAATGCCATCCACACTTATGAACTGATGCCTTGGCATAAGTCCTTTTAGTTAGATATAGGTCT